AATGTAATATTTTAAAGTGGTAAAATTTAAGTGTACCTAAAACTACACCACTCTTAAGCTATCTTAATATATTCATACTTTATATTAATATTACATTACAGTACCAGTAAAACGCGACAATGGAAAAGAAACTATGGCTGACAAAATAACCGATTTAAAGGAGTCAATAAAACGCGAAATTTTAGATGACCCAAAATTAGAAATCATTATTCGAAGTAGATATTTATATTTTAAAATATTATTCTATAAAAATATTTGAGTTAGTTTAAAAAATAAGGAAGTATACTCCGACTACACAACTTATTATTTTTCTTAAAGTATCCATAATTTTACCAAAATTTACTTTAATAGATCACATTGATGATTTAATGTCCGAAATCGTTCAGGAAATTGTTCAGAAATATTTAATGGAATCTTCCGATTACTTGATAAATAATATTAGTGATCCAGAAAAATACAAGACGGACGAAATAAAGATAAACAAAACATTAACCGAGTTAAAGGATGTACAGCAAAATAATGGTAACTCTATATATTTTAATTTAATAAAAAAAATGATAGTACATTTATAAATTTAAGTACAATATAAATATGTAAATTTTTTAGATTTTATTCCTTCTGCTCCACCACTTCCCCAAACTCTACCAACGCTACAAAAAGCAGAAAATAATATTAAAAACAAAGGTAAGGTTGATAGACCAGCAGGTCTACCAAAAAATCTTATAGATGAAATCAAACGCGGCGTGAAATTGAAGGTAAAGTTTTTAATAATTAATAATTGAGTATAGTGCAAATTATATATTATAGCTTTATGTAAGCAAAAAAATTACCTCAATATATTAAATGTTAAAATGAGTATATTAATTATAACAGATAGTATATGTATTTGATTTTTTAATTTTATATAGCCGGTAAGTCCAATGGTTAAAGTATTAGAAAAATCAATTACAGATGACAAAAATCTTCGAAGATTGAACCCTTTTGATAGTACTTGTATATATACATAAAAAGTCACTGTTTATGTTATCTAAATATGAATATTTTCCAGATATCATNGTTTATGTTATCTAAATATGAATATTTTCCAGATATCATTCCTTCACCACCTCCCCATACTCTACCAAAGCCACTAAAATCAGAAAATAATGTAAAAAGCAAAGGTAAGGTTTATAGACCAGCAGCTCTACAAAAAAATCTTATAGAGGAAATCAAACGCGGCGTGAAATTGAAGGTAAACCTCTTTAACAATTAATAATAGAGTATCGTTCAAGTTTTATATTATTACTTAATGTAAGCAAAATAAATGTCTAAAATCGATATAGTATTTTAATGATTATAATTCAATTTTTTTTTATATCATACTTATGAAGTGGGTCATATATTAATGAATCGCATTTTNATATCATACTTATGAAGTGGATCATATATTAATGAATCGCATTTTGAATGCTTCATAAAAATAAAGATTTTTAATTACAATTCAAATACTTCAGATAAAATGTATAAAAAAATATATATTTTTTTGTAATGAATTTTTTTTACGTTTTTTAACTTTTTGTCATACTCATGAAAGGAATATGAAATGAATAATAATGAATCGCATTTTAAACAATTCATAATAATATGAAGAATTAATATACATATATTTTCAAATTAATTATGCATTTTATTTTAATATTGTATGTGTTCATTAGATTAATTTTTTTCTCTAATATCTATTTATTATCCGGGTATCTTTTTTTTTTAATTATCTAATCCTTCACATAAGTGATCTGGTATTTATTTAACTGCTTAGTGGTGTTTTCACAATCTGTTGCTTGACTCCAGTAGTCAAAATAAAATATTTAAAAATATATACAATCTTAGTATAATATTTTATAGCCGGTGAAGCCAGTAGTTTCAGTAATAGAAAATCCAAAAATAAACGAAAATGATTTTGAAAGAATGAACCCATTAGGTATTCCAATGTTTCGTCGGGCAAGTATGATGTCGAGCAGTTCTAGCTCCGATACGTCATCGGAATACTTTTCTCTAGATGAATGGGATAACTAAATAAAAATTAATCGAAAAGTAAAGCTTGAATAAACAATGGCAAGTGGTAATTAATAAGTCAACCGCTCCTGAGCATAGTTAGTGTGTAATCGAAGAGTCATCAAGATGAGCTGAGGTTACCGGTTTGTCTAAAACGAACAGACAACCGGATCATACCTTGACTTTGTACTTTCTATGTTTTTAAAACCAATTGCTAACAGTAATGTTGGAGGTTTTTGAGAGAAATTTTTTAACTAAAAACTTAATATTATTATCCAAGCTAATATTTTCGAATTATTTTTTTTTGTATACAATGTATTATTTTGATTTGTTCTAGAAATAAAAATAGATAAAAATGTATGGTGTTGTTTAATTACGTTTTATTTTACTTTTACTTGAATTCTAATAAACTAATAAATTCAGGTAATAATATATTATTATGTTATAAAAATTTTATAATATTTATGTTTTCTATATTAAAAGAAATAAATATTGGCCTTAATCCGAAAAAGTTAATGATCAGTTAAATTAAAACTATAAAATAGAACATACTAAGATTCCTGATAGGGATATAGCTATGTTGAGAATTAAGGATATTTATNGGGATATAGCTATGTTGAGAATTAAGGATATTTATTACTACTCCTACCATTTTTATTATATTATATTATGATATAATATAATGTAGTCCGAGCTATTGACGTCAAAATAAAAAAGGCAATCATGTTTTAACGCCTGTTTTCGATACTATAATTTTTACATTATTCATTTTGTCAACAATTTTACTTATTTTAAACAACGACTCGTCTATCACCAATTGTCAATAAGTCAACCAACTCTATCTCAATTTACACTAACCAATTGTATTAGGATTCAGCTCAGGCGTTTTTTATATTACACATGACTTTACTTAATATTTAAAATTGTATCGTTAAGATTAATATGCAGTTAGGAAGTTTTATAATTACTATTAATAGTAAATTTATCAAAGTAGATCAAT